GGCAGATTGATGGATGCATTGTACAGTTGTGTCCAATTTGGCTTTTTTTTTTCCCCAGCTGCAAGTGTACCATTTTCAGCTTATATCTGTACCCTGCATAATCTTAGTCATCTAATTATAACTCACCATTGACACCTCAACAAGCAAGATTCACTCAATTAAAACTGTACAGAGCATCTGTTGTTCAGCTGGCATGAAAAATACCAGCTTTTCCCAGTCTATCTATCAGCTGGGAAGCACTCGCCATGCTCCTGTGAGTAATGGCCTTATGGCAGGATCTGCTTTTGCCCATCCCAGATAAACTGCAATTCTCCAGATACGATACAAATACAGCTCTCAGTTTTCTTCGTCCAAGTATAAGGAAAATTTATTTAAAGCAATGCATTGCACAAACAAGTTAGTCTTTGGTGACTGCTCTGAGCTGCCATTTTCAAGGTGGGGGAGAGACCAACTCTACCTGACCCTAACTGAGGTTTGATTAAGTGTTGTTTTGCTTTGGCTACCTGATTTCAGATTTAGTGACCTTTGTTCACTATCTAATCTGGTTTTTAATTCCTGATCAAATACTGATTTACTTTTTTATGTGTTTCATAAGTACATTGCCTTTTAATGCCAATTCCATGTTTCACTGTAGGGAGTAGCTTATGTTTGATCAAGCATTTTTGCATCTATAAACATTGAAAATACAGTGTATTTGCTAGAACTATGCTCTATGAGTCCCTCCAACAGCTATGCAGAATAGCTTCAAATTGTGAAGCTGTGATTCCTGCTATCTAAATCTGTGCTCTTCACTTAAAGTGAAGACATCTCACCCTCCCCTACCTCTACCCATCATCTCCTTCTGTATCTCTATTAATCTCCACATTTAAGATATGCAGAGCTTTCTGAGCTGTAAAGGCTTGGCCCCAGTGAAATCTCCCAGAAGGTTTTTACAATGAGTAAATGTGGCCCTAAGTGGGCCCTCCATTTCCAAAGCCCAAGACTCACCATGCTCTGATAACCCGCTTGCTGGCTAACGCATTTGATATCCACCTGAAAACACCACCACAGGGCATGTGTACAAACTCCATAGTACATCTAGGAATGTTTACCAGAGACTGTCCTTTAGGAACCGTCTGAGGAGCCATCATAAATAGCCTGTATTTGCTGCTGTAAAATGCAGAACACCTGGGTCTCTACCTGCTAAAAGTCTCTTGGTACATGTAAACAACTGGAATGAAATCCCAGCAGACAAAGAACATACAGAATTCTGCAATACCTCAGCTCAGATGCAAACCCTGCTCCATCCCTGCAGAACAGCTGCCTTGAAGTGTGGGAGTCCTTGGATTCGAAAGTAAGCAAGAAACAATGAAAACCCTTACAGGGAAAGTTAGTAGGTTCACCAAGCTTTGAACTGGGCTACTTTATAAAATCAAAGCATGCAACAATTTCTTAAATTGTAATTAAATTTATACCACCAAAAATACTGTAGTGAGGAGCCCTGGTCCCCCAGAGAACCACAGCAGTTCCCTGGAGAGGGGTGGAGATTAGCAAACACATTTCACATGACAGCTTTTAATATAATTATTTGCATAACTGGATTAAAGAAGTGCACCAACGTGCCTCTAAATCTTATTATTGTTTATTACTCTGGATCTCAGAGAAAACAGTAATTACATTGAGCAGAGATTCTCGGGGCTTGATTCAGAGGTGGGGTTGAGCGAATGTGGTTATGCCTCAGTCCCCGCCAGCCTGCGGGACCCCCAGCCCTCCTGCTCAGGGCTGGACTTCCTTTGTGCACCGTGCAGGGAAAGCCTGGAAAAGTGGCCTTGCAGGACCACTGAGGTGGGCCAAGGGGGCTGCTGAGGAGAGAGAAGGAGCTTCAAGAGCCCACAGCTGGGGAATGCAGATCATCTCAGGGTGCATATGCAAAACCTAGTCCTGAGAAGGACCTGAAGCAAGGGGCAGGCTCTGAGTGTTCTGCTGCAAATGCAAATCCCGAAAGATTCAAGGCATATACAGGTTAAACCAGCACTTAAACAAGGGTGCCTGCCATGCTGGGCACTCCTGAGGACCTCCTTGGGATGACAGACTTTGGCAGTGCTGTAACTGCAGCTCCAGGGGCTGGTAGCAAAATGTCCCCAGTGTGTCCATCACTGTGGGAACAATATATGCACCAAACAGCCATTCATTTCTGTCTCAAGGAAAAAAAGAAAAAAAATAGAAAGAGAAATCCCTCTTGTCTGCTTCGTGCAGCTCTCTGCAGCAGCCATCTGCAGTCACTAACATTCAGGAGAACATTAACAAGCCAAACTGCAGTGCTGGCAAATGAGGGTAAAAACATGATGTGTAAGAAGGAAATGGTCCCAGGCCTGCTGTGTTAACAAAGAGTCTTCCCAGTTACTCCACTGGGCTTTGAATCACTCTGGATTACAGCGCTGTCTGTATTTAGTGCACAAGTTTGTAAAAATTATGGGCCATCTCAATGCTAATTAGCCTTTACAAACTGGCAAATTAACAGCTTGAAGTAACATAATTCTATAGAAGAAAAATCTCTCAAATCCAGGATTTTGTTGTTATTTAAGGCTGCTTTTTGCAGTGTTGTTTCAGTGCTTTCTCGGTGTCCTACTCTCTGTTCTCTTCAAAAGAGCCCTGAAACAGAAGCTGAAAAGCTTATGAAATTTGGTTGGTTTGTTTGGAAGGGTTTTTTGCCTTTTCAAAATCACCAGTTATTCCAGTAACTTGCTATATTGAGCTTGAAGGAAAAATGATTTCCTAAAATTCAGCAAAAGCAAAACATCCTTTAATAAGTCATTCAAATCTTTAAATCAAGGTAAGTAAGGCAGATACACTTCATCACAGAGTGAATGCAAGTAATACCCACTTTAAAAGGACTTTCTTTGATTCAGTGTCTCTGTAATCAGCTTCTAATACCCAGTTCCTCATTACTAGCAACAGAACAGCTTAAAATTCTAAGGAAATTTGTGAGAAGGGATTTCAAATGTTTTTCCAGTGCTTTTCCCAGTGTGTGCATATGCATCTGTGAATTTTTTTTTAAACCAGATTAGCTTACTGAATGTTGATGAGCAAAATGATATTCACAGTAGGAGTACATTTACAAACTAGAGAAACCATCCTCTCTTTCCTCCTTCTCCCCCTTCGTCTATTTGCATTGCCTCGCAGCCCATACATTTCTGGCCACGTGCATTTGCAGTCGGATAGATGTCCTTACTGACCACGGCCAAAACTGTCCCTGGATTGCACTGCTTCTCTGGCTGATCTCAGCTCAGTATCAGTCAGTTCCTCGTGCCATCCCAGATTCTGGCAGAGCAGGCTGGAATAAAAACAATGCTTTCAGAACTTTTTCCCTTATGTTTATCTATTATCTCGGATATTTTCATTTCAGACAGAGGGAGGAAGAAACTAGAAACCATTAGGTTGATTATAGCTTCTAACTCCCTCATCTGACTGAAAGGTGAATGTCAAAGGAAATTGTTTCTTCCCAAAAGACTCCTTCAAAAGAGAACACTTGCCACTCCTCTCCATTTGACAGGTCTTTCTTTGACTGGTCATGCAATGCTCATACATGGCTCAATGTCAACAGCCCCTTCCACCTGCTGTCTCTTAACAGACACCTCCAGAAGTGCTCCTGAAGACAGTATCAAAGTCTCTGGCTGTCTCTGGAGATCAAAGCTAATGGCAGCATTGCCACACATCAAAATCAGTTCCTCAAGGAATGAGCAGAAAGCATCTTGACACTGACAAGTCTATGATGGTGTCCACTGCTCTGGCTGGGAACGCAGCTGCCTTGCGGTAGGGTCAGCAAATTGGGGTTACATGAGACAATGGCAGGAATACAATTCAATGTCAGTAAAGTGGTGGTATCTTAACATCCCCCTATTGGGATGAGTTTCCACCACACTTTATGCTTCCAGTCTGTCCATCCTTGGTGACAGCATCAGCAAGTCCACCAAATAGGCTGTCGCACACTCTGCATTGCAGTTGCACCTCACAGAAATAACATCACTCTGGTTTTATTTCCCCTCTCACAATACTGCATCTCACCTTGCTACATGCTGTGCTGCAGGTTCATGAGACACAGGAGGTTTGGGATTGCGTGATTATGCTGGGTTCAAAAAGCATAAGCCACAGATTCCTGCCCAATGCGGTTGGCCATGGCAGGCAGGTGAGCAGCCCTGCTGCAAAGGCTGCTATTCCATCCACTCGGCCAGCAGCAAGGAGAAAATGGCAGTGAGGGAGGAAACCGTGCAGGGCAGACATAGCACACCCCACCAAGGACCACAGAGCCCTCATGCATGCGTGGGTCCCCAGGCATGCAAGCAAACCAGAGGCGCTTGGAGGGAGTGTGAGTGAGCTGATGCCATCACCCCACACACCACTCGCACCCTCAGGAGTGGGGAGACCCCTGCACGCTGCTGCTGCCAGCACAACTCAGCTGGCAGAAGGAGGCTCGGAGCAGCTCCTACCAAGCTGGTTTCCTGCCCACAGCTGAGACAGCTGCTCATGAAGGGCATTTCAGAGAGTCTTAGGCTATTCTTCAGCATGGCCCTAACACAAGAGGACTACAGGAATATTGTTAGTCCTCCACCCTGGATCCTGTGCTAAGGACTGGACTCTGGGTAGATATGCAGATTTAATTTTTACCCAATCCAAAGCATTTCCTCACTGAGATATTTAGGTCTCATATTCATCCTTGCTTCTCCCTGTCCCCAAATCCCATGTCTGTACTGCCAGCAATATCCAAAACAGATAGGAGGGATCCCTGTAGCTTACATAAGGGTATCTTACTGTGCTAACATCTCCTTGGCCTCTAACTCCTGTCAAAGACTAAAGACATTTCTGGGACTTGACATCTGCCTCTCCTTCTCCAGTAGGAGTGGAGGTGCTGGGGAAGCTATGCATGGGACCTGTGTTGTTACAATTGAGCCCTGAGGACAAATGTCAGGAATCAGGACTAATTAACAGTCGAAAAGACTTACAGTGTTACCGTAAAAAGGAAGTGCACTCCCACCAGCTCTCGTTTACAGCACCACACTGGCCATAATGCAATTCGTAGTGGGTCCAATTTTCTTCTTTCTCCAGGCAAACATTTTCTTCAGCTCCCCCCTGAAGCTGTCATGGAGCCAGGCATAGAGGAAGGCATTGGTACAAGCAGACATCATTGCAAACCAGTGGCACAGCAGCTGGATGAAATTGAAGTACTGCTTGTCAATCAAGCTGATGTCTATGTCCTTTATCATGTTGAAGATGTGCAGAGGCAGCCAACAGACTCCAAAGGCTGCCACCACTAAGACTAGCAAGCGAAAAGTCTTTCTCCTCCTTGCTCGGTCCCACTCAGCTTGGCCCTGGGTGACATTGCCTGGGACCACACGGTTTTTCAGCTTGACTGAGATTCTCAGGTAGGACAGGGAGATGACAGCCAAAGGCAGTACGTAGGTGATAATGAGAGTGCTGTAGGCGTAAGCTAAGCGATCTCTTTTCATGTGGAACCAAAACTCCTCACAGATGGAGAAGTCCAGTTCTGGGAACTCTGCGTGGTAAGTGTGAACCAAGGCTGGGGCAGCCAAGGTACAGCTCAGCAGCCAAATAGCAGCCAGGATATAAGCACAAATAGGGATTGTGAGCCTCCTGCGGAATGGGTACACCATGGCATAATACCTATCCACAGCTATGACAGTCAAGGTAAAGACAGACACAAACACAGTGACGGGTTGCATCAGGAAAACAAAGTAGCACATGAAACGCCCATACACCCATCCTCTGGGCTCAAAGGCATACGCGAGTGTCAGGGGTACACAGGTTGCACACATAAGCATGTCTGAGAAAGCCAGATTGCCTACCAGAAAGTTGGTGACATTGTGCATTTTTTTTGTCTTGCAGATTACATAAATGAGAAGGTAATTCCCAATGACACCAATAAAAACCACTAGCGAGTAGCAGGGGATGATGAGTGGCTTGAAGGTCTGAACAAACTGGAGCCCTGAGAATAAATTGCTGGTGTTGCTATGAATCACAGACAGGAAGCTTTGGGAGGTTAAATTGTCCGAATTCATCATTTCCCTCCTTTTGCTGTCTGCCGTCAGCTGAGTGAAGTAGTTACCACTGCACTACTCCTGCACTCAATCAGTGTGGATAATAAATGGGTTACTGGCTGTTCAGAGGTTACCAAACAGATAGTAAACAAGCATCCGTAAAAGCAAAAGGTGAAGTTGTAATCCTCGAGAGGCAGCTTTCAGCAATTCCTAAGAAAAATCAAATACAACCAATTTCCATTAAAGTCCTCCTGTATTTACTATTAAATCTAGGTTTTGACAGCATGCCACTTAATAAATATTTAATGCAGTGAGTACTTACTGCTGTGGTTTTTTAATCCCATATGATTTTCCTGTGGATGCCAAGAGCCCTAGATGTCTGTCTTCTGCAAATCCAGGAGCGCGTGTGTGTGTGTGTGTGTGTCAGAGAGAGAGAGAATATATGAGTGAGAAAGAGGGTGATGCGCATTTACAAGCGAAGTGGAGATCAGTGTTTTTAAACAGTCTTCACTACTAGGTCATGACAGATTTGTGTATAAGCTTTTATCCCTATTGGCTGTCCTGGGTATTACGTTGCTCTTTGTGTGTTTCTTACTGATAGTAATTAGTTCTTGAATATCCTTTCAAAAATGCCCTTCTCCTTCCCGTGCATCTATAATTGCCCCTCACAGCTAAAAAACAATTTACATTCATTAACACTAGCCTGCACAGTATGTAATCCAAGATTCACTTTGCCACAGTCCTCAGAGTGTCCAAAAAAGCTACCTGTAAATTTGCTGCTATAATGTGGCTGTAAAATAGAATCTTAATAACATGCTGAAGCCAAATAAATGTTTATGCCACTAGAGGGACTCAGCTACGTACCCGGTGAATGAAGTTAGGCTTAGAAATGTGCATTTAGTATATAGCACAAAGGATCTTATTTTATTTAAATATATTTTCTAATGGTGGTACAATATTTGCTCACCCATTGTGACTATTTTCAGTGGGGTTTACATGTCTTTAAAAGTAAACACATGCGAGCATCTCAAAGGAAATATCAGCATCCGAATAGCTTAACTGTAAGGGTTTACCTGCAGTGAACTACAGCAAACTGTTTCTAATATTGCAGCTGCCCAAAAATATTTGGGGTATGTCTTCATGCCTGCAGTAGGTTTGTTAACATTTTCTGTACCAGGCAACAAGTGCTAACCAGTCTGTAAAATAGCCTATACTTGTTTTGTTTGGTTCAGACATTAGAAAGCAAAAAATCAGGATAGGTGCTTAGAGAACACACGGTTAAACAGACGTCCCCATCCAGCTCTTGCCTATTGCTCTAATTGTCCCTTAACTCTCCTCCATTTCAACCACTGCTGGGACCAGGACCTCAGCTGGTGAAAAATAGTGAAACTCCACTGCATCCATTCATACCAGCTAGGGAAAAGAAAAAATAAATGGAACAGCCTAACAACTTCTGAATACTCCAGAGCAGAGAACATTGCTAGGTTTTGCAAGGCACTCGGAGGATTTAGACACAGCTTCAATGGATAGTTTATGTCCTAATCTCTTAGACTACTCTAAGGAAATATTAACCCATTATTTTCTATGAGGTTATGGGCAGACCCATACCCATCTTTTGATTTGATGTAATTTGACATAAACCAAAAGTTTAAATAGATTTCATTTGTGTCATAAGCCTTTTTCTAATCTTAAAACAGAAGGTAGTCTTGTGTAGCCCTTGTTCAGACTGGAGCTGTTCTCTCACAACTAGTTATGATGGGCATTTCAAACCTAGTAAGTGCTGACTCTGTGCCACTGCATTTATGGTTAGATTATGCTATGGACTGGAATATGGCTATAATTCCAGCCCAAGGGGAGAACAAGCATGTAGCCGTGTTGTTCAGGAGTGCCATCCTTCACTTCATGGATGACCCATGACCCATACAAAAAATAGGATGACCCATGACCCATACAAAAAATAGGATGTTATATCCTGCTTCAGAGTCCAATCTCACCTATCTGAGCTGGATGGGACCCAGAGGAATATAGTCCCTATTTATCTCTACATACCCAAATCCAGAATAGGAGAGGGACCTGAGGGTAGAGGTTGCAAAGAAGCAATAAAAAAGGGGATTCCTACTGCTTTCACCACCCAGTGCAACCGTACTATTTGGTGATAAGCAGCACGCTGCAAAAGTAATTCCTAAAAGCCATAAATGCAATTGTTTCCCTTAATGTGGGAGAAAAGTATGGTCTGATTTAAATCCTACTGAAGTAGGATTTCAGTAGGCTTTGGACGTGGTCTATAGTATAAGCCAAAAGACATGGAAAAATGAACGGGAAGCATATGTAAATGGCCTTCATACTGCCCACATCCTACTGGAATTGCAAGGCTTATGCTAGGAAAGAAGCCTCATAATATCAGTGCACACATAATAATTGAAAATCACATTTTTAACTAAGTGATTTTTCTGTTTCATTCCCAAGAACTGCAGAGTAGATCCAATAAACATCCTCGTATTCTTATGAGAAAAAGGTTTATACTTCGCTATGTGAGAATAAAAAATCAAACAAAATATCATCTAAAGTAACCTTCAAGGGCACCTTAATGCTCAGGTCACAAAAACCTGTAAGTAACATTGGAGGTTCTTTTATTTCAAGCTGTATCAAGCAATCTTCCTGCATTTTCTCTTACCTTTGAACATATTTTCTTCACCTCTGGAACCAGTAACCAGTAAACCTTCTGTCTGAAGGCTCCCAACCTATTTCTGTTAGTGATTTTCTGTTTGTTTTGGCTTCAGGCAGAACATTTCTTCAGTTCAATTGTACTCTACAGCCAAGACCTGGAAAGATAATAGGGGCTTGAATAGAAAAAGTATTTCAGCATTTTAGCCCAAAGAAATCCCCTTTCCTCCTTTTAAAATTGCAAATATTAATCTTGTTTAGAATTTCCTAGGCTAGATGACAAAGTTCTTCCTGAACTGAGTATGTCTATTTCCAACACAGAATTTTCTCATTAAAAGAGAAAAGGTCACAGAAACTGCATTACTGTCATATTAGAACTGTTTTGACATTCCAAGTGTATAAGGGTGTCACACATAGGAATGCTGATTAGTGCCTAATTGAAACCCTGGTCTTCCTTGAGTCAATGGAAAATGTTATATCTGGAGCCAAACCAAGACTTAACAGAAGCATTTCATGGCTGAGCTTTCACAATTTCTTATGCTAACCTGTCCAACTCTGTACAGACACTTTGAGTACAAACATTGTAAGCTGCTATGTGACTTTCAGAAAGTGGTAAACCTCTTAAAGCACTGACAATGTTCCTTACATGCATATCTAATCATCCCTGTAGTTCCTGACTAAAACAGCATGATCCAGGAATGAGATCTGATCCTAGCAGTTATACTTGCAAAGCTCAACAGTACTTCTTAAGCTGGCAGGCCCTCTCTTCTATTATTTAGACTTTACAGACCAAAACATTTTCTTCTGTCATTAAAGTCTCACAGTTTCAGGTGTTAGTTTTCTATGTTCTTGTTTATTTGATATGTGTCTTTTCCTGTAAAACACAACCTCTTTTGCACCACAGAACTCCTTTAAAAAGTCTTTCACATTCTTCCAGGAACGTTCTGTGCAGAACAGATCAGGTAGTTCTTGCAGAGCCTACAATAAAAATAGATGCTTTGCCTATTTTGAATGAAGTAGAGCTGGGGGTTCCTTTAGCAAATTCTTCTTATAAATAGCCAGGGAACAAGATTGTGTACCACAATCTTGTACAACAATTTCAAGACAGGGCAGCCTGTCTCTCCTTCTCTCATTTAATCATATAAATGCATCCCATCTGCCCCTGCTGTGGACTGAGACATCACAGTCTCTAAACTCTAAAAAACATGTTTACAACTAAGGGTTTTGTTCGGTTGGTTTGGAGTTTTTTGGGTTTTGTTGCTGCTTTTCTCAAATTCAAGGTACCAAACTTTGATAAACTCAGGATTCAGCTTAAAATAATTCATTTAAGCTGAAAAGGAGCTTAACAACTTGAATGAAGAGGAGGCTTGAGGTTGCACGCTAGGTATAGAATAGGGGCTCTACTCTTCCCTGTGTGCACAGAATTCTTAGTCTGCTGAGCAAAGCGAGATGAGAAAAGTAAGCTGGTTCCTTAGGTGACAAAGATCTTGTGCTAAAATAAAGAGTGTAAAAACTGAAGAAAAATACAAGTGGTTTCCTGGGAATTAAGGTCACAGGAAGGTCCTGGGAATGAATGGATCACAATTAGCACAATAAGGTAAAAGCCAAATGTAGAAGTGAATAAACTCATACTGTCAGGAGTTAGCTAATCCCCGCTGCCAGGTTCTGCAAGAACTGACACATGGAACTGCTGAGTAAGAAGTAAGGGCTTTTCCTCTCTTTATGGCATGGGAACACAACCCTGTGACTGAAGAAAAGCAAATGGGCCACTTGTCCTTAAGAATAGGAAGGGGGGGGGGATGTGATGAGAAAGTGCAGGCCCTTTAGTCTAGCAGCAGTTTTACAGTAGGTTTTAGACCAGATTTAAGGACAGAAGAAAGGAAGAGAGAGAGAGGGGACAGAATAGGATACCAAAGGAAGCTTCTGCCAAATTAACCTTCCATCTATGTGTTATTAACCTGATTTTTCTCAATGTATGTAGTAGTTCTTCTCAGTTTGCATTTGCATAACATGTAATGTGGTAGCATATGAGAAACCATCATTTATACCAGAGGAGATATCCTAAGAACTGTGAGATAGGCAAAGAACAGCAACATTTATGAAGGAAATGGACCAGAAGACAGCAACTATTCATGCTCATCTAGAACTTTGCCTGGGATTGACCAGCCTTGGTAGCTCTTTTCATTTTATTATGTTAGCACAAAAATCAGGACGACACCAACTGAATTTGATAGACCCACCAAGTTTGGAACCAGACACGATATGGAGGATGACTGCACAATTAAACAGAGAAACTTTGAAAACCTCAGGGAGAATGGGACGAAGTTCGATACCATTACAGAGGAAAAACTTGTCATAAAAGACAGGATCAAAGTCACCTGATAATA